TTGTTACGTATTGATGAAATATTTTAAACTTCATCTCCAAGAAATTGTCGACAGAAAAAAACTTATAGCACCTTTTTGAAAATGAACAGTTTCTAAAAACATGCTGTAACTCAGAAACGATGATAGATATCGATATGCGGTTTTCACCATTGAGTTCGTCATAAAATTTGACCTCTAGACACAGACACCAGTTTCTCTTCAAAAGTGTCCAATTTGGCTGACTTTGTACAAATATCGGGAAAAGAATTGAATTGAATTTTCTACAAAAAAGGTTCTATATACTGGAATACTTGCTAGGATTGGTCCTTGAAAAACTTGAAGATATGAACATGAAGAAAGTTAACTGAAAATGGTTTAACAAATAAAAATCGTAGTAGAAATCATACAAAGGTTATCTTCTTCATCTTATATTAACCTACTCTTTATATGATTACCAGAAAAACGTACTTTCGGTTGATGATTGTGAAAAACAATGAATCATACGCATTTGTAATTATTTGCCCGGGGACAAATGACCGATTCATATAATCATTTTGGATTATAACTCCCGAGTTGTGGTAAAACCGCATTGGCAAAGCCATTGAGGTAATCACATGTTCCGTTAGACTCAATTGGATATAGACACAACAGAATTAATGTGGAAAAAAAAGAAAAAAGAATATCTGAAGTGAAGAAGAGACTACCACAGTACTAGAGAAAATCATAGATATTTTCAGACAAAAAATAAATGAATGATACCAGTGAATTCAGCAACGTATGAATTATTTTTTAAACCCATATGATATAAAACTATCGCATTTGTTTTTCTTTGAATTGGATCAATAACATAAACCTTCACGGCTCACTGTTCTTGATTATATATCAACATTACAAGAATAATGTTGACTCATCTGAATCTTTTTCAACAATTTGGTGGAGGTGCAAGTTTTGCTGTCAAACGAAAAGACATCAACGAGCGAAAGCACGGAAACCTAGAAAACTATTCTTCGAAGAACTAAATCTGTGCGTTCAGACTTTTTCTCACAAAAATAAGAAACGCAGATGGGATATAACATATAATTTGTACAAGCTATAATTTCCTACGAGAGATATAGAAAGGCTTCATTAGGATCTTTTAAAAATAAAGCAGGAGTAAATGCAGTGGCGCACAAAAAAAGCAACAGCATATAAGTTACCTGAAGGCTGGTGATTTGTTTGAATTGTTTATACTGAATGAAGTGGAGGTTGAAGTAGGGTTGGAAATTCAAAGTTTTTCGTGAAAACAATATATTGCTACAATTTTTAGAATTTTTCAATTATTGANGCTCCTAGATTCAAGTAAGACATGGAACCTTCGAAATGACCTCCCGAAAAACGTTTTTAACCGCCCTAAGACATTATCTGCTTCAAAAAAAGTCCACTAGAATCGTTCGTGCATTGCGATTCCGAAATCGGGGCAATTGCACTATCAAGATGAATATTTTTATAAAAATACAATGCTTTTATGAGAAAAGACAAAGTTTTTATAAAAAATGTTTTTATGTTTTTATAAAAAATACAATGATTTTATGGAAACAAGCCAATGTTTGAATAAAAAAAGCAATGTTTTGATAGAAAAAAAGTTCAAGACAACCGACTTTTAGTATGACCACTCCTAGATTCAATTAAGACAAGAAACCTTTGAAACGACCTCCCGGAAAACGTTTTTCAAACACCCCAAGACATTATCTGTTTCAAAAAAGTTCATAAGGATCGTTCCTGCAGTGCTTTTCCGATATCGAGATAATGACACTTTCAAGATGAATATGTTTATGCAAAAGACAATGCTTTTGTGAAAAAAGACAAAGTTTTCATAAAAAAGTACAATGTTTTTATGAAAACAAGACAATGATTTTACGAAACAAAACAATGTTGGAATAAAAAAAGACAATGTTTTGATAGAAAAAATACAAATAAATTTCAAGATAACCGACTTTCAGAATGACCGCTCCTAGATTCAAGTAAGACATGGAACCTTCGAAATGACCTCTCGGAAAACTTTTTTTAACCGCCCCAGGACATTATCTGTTCGAAAAAAATCCATTAGAATCGTTCGTGCAGTGCGATTCCGAAATCGGAGCGGTCGCACTTTCAAGATGAATGTTTTTATAAACAACTAATACGTGAAACTTTTATGAATATTTATCAAGGTTTAATTGCAGGGTCCGTTTCAATTATATACAAATTATTATTAGTCATGCAAATCTCGGCTGTCCAGAAAGAACTGTGTACGCTGTAATTTACCCAAAGATATGTTTAATTACACTTGTTATCGTGGGTAGAATAATTATCACATTTCAACATCCAGCGACGTTTGAGGTTAGTTTTCTCCGGCGCTGTGTAAGATATGGAGAAAAACATAATCGAAGATGATATCTAGGTGACGCAAGAGGCCGATTGTATAATCTGGAACGACTGATGTAAGCGAGAGAAACAAATTTATGGTGGCCCAAATGAATTGTATTCCAATATCCAACAGCTTTTTGGTGATATCATTTTGGACTGAGGAGGTGTACCTTTCTCTGACTATCTATGAATGCTAATTCTTCAATAATGTCAAATGGTTTTTAACGAAAAGATTTCGAATAGAAAGATCGGTTAGACAGGGCTGTCCTTTGTTTATGATTTAATCCAGGCTTTTTCTGAGGCTTTCTCATTTTTTAATATGGGATGAATGAACTTTTGTCTGATTTTTTGTATGTTTTTCATTTGTTTTAGCCGGTTTCGGTATATTAACTCAAATTTAACAAACTGAAACCGGTTGAAACAAAAAAAACTTAGTAGATATCAAACAAACATTATTTTCTCTATCCTGTATTCAATATGAATTTCTACAAAATGAATAGGTCATCAATCGAATAAGTTTCTCATTTTTTATTGGAAAGCATGAAAATAACAAAAGAGTTAAAGTGACTTCTTCCAACGCGGATCATGCGAACTACTCTCCCACTTCAACTTTCATGTTCCACGAATCAATTCTAGAAATGAACTGATTTTTCATCTACCAAATTCTAGAACAAATATATTACTCAAGTCACCAGTTGTTGCAATGAGCAAACTTTACAATAAACTCTGTGAAAATCTCGACATCCATTATGAACCTATTGGTCAAGTTGAGAACCACGTTAAGAAACTTTTACACTCAAGTTAAAATACATGAGCCCAAATTGAAAGTTATTCTACCATGTGAGCTTATTACTACTAATGTATTACTGCTAAATTATGTTTTTTTTGTAATACACCTGAACTACGTTTTTACTAGTTAGCTCTATATCTGACTAATGGTTTTTAACCATTTAACTCTTCTAAATGTTTACTTTATTTTATTTTTTGTTTACTCGCTTCAGGTGTTTCTAGTTGTATGTGTATGGTGTGTATATAGGCAGATATAAACTGTAACATGCTTGTTAATAATATTAATATGTCTTGTTATTGGGATTTATTCCTGTTTAGACATCATCTCAGTCACGAGGGGAACTATTTAATTTTCGATGCGAACTTGAAAAGTAGAGTTGGTGAGCTCTCTGTTCTTCTCAGGTCCAGACATCATTATTGCAGATTTATTAGAATTCAGCTTGAGCTTATAGGCTGTAGAAATGTCAAAGATGGCTTGAAGATCCTTATCCCAAGAATAGATCATCGTGGCGCTCCCTTTGATAACGGTTGAACATACGATACAACTCCATCCACAACAACTCATTGAGTACGATTTTTTAGATAGTTTCCTAAAAGTGACACTTTGTTTTTTTGAATTTGAAGATAGAAAACACGCAATGCAAAACTCATGCTTATTGATATTACTTGTTCTCGTGCTGTAAATGTTGACTCGTTTATTATGTATTTTCAAAGAACAGAATAAGTAATGGATATCATTTTTGTTATTATTGAACCTCTTTGTCAGATCAATCGCATATATAACCGGGTCATACGTACAACAATCAAAGAAGAATAATAATAACGGATCATCATCCTACTAATAGCGGTTCGGACTGCCTCTCTCACAGCCCGTCATTACAAAAGACTTAGGAGAACTCTTAACATTTTTCAAATAGCCCCCAAATTTATTTATAATTCTCTCGAGCAGTAATCCCACAACGCTTTTCTAATAATAAGGTAACGTTACGTAAATATTAGGCATTACCCTACTGAACATTATGCTCCACTACAGTTATTACTACAACTGTTTTTCAGATGAATACGTTCAGGTATGAATTATACATGAAAGATGAAAGCGCAGAGTGCTTCAAATTTTTAAAAGATTGATGTTTCCATTTACATTTAGAATTTTAATACTAACAATGGGTCAAGTGTGCCTTGAGAATTCAGCTATTTCAAAGTTGTTTTCGAACGTCTCAATTAATCATTGAACTGACGATTCTTTTGAAAAAGTATAGTTTCTATAACGATAATCAAGAATGAAAACAGAAAGGGAAACGAGTCAAGCTCATCAGAAATTTGCAATCTAACGAAGTTTTGATGAATTTCATTAGTTCGTAGTGCCATTGTCTAATATAATTCTGTATGATTCGAAATCAGGAATAACAGAGCATGTTTGGCCTCATCAAGTGGTCCCAAGCTGAGATCAGTCGCAGGGAGAAACACTGGTTCAAGAGGAAGTTCAAAGAAACTGCATACATGTTATACATGTACATTCAGCCAAGCTAGCGTTGATATACGCAACATATGAAAATCTATAATCAAACGGAAAACGGTCAACTACCGCTAAACCGGTGAAGCGGGGAGGGAATAGTCGTCTCTTGGAGAAATAGTCCAGTCATCACTCGGAGATGATTGTGGATACTAACAATCGAAAAGTCGTGAAGAAACTTTCAGACACAAACNTAATGGATCACTCCAAGCTCACTGTCCTTGGTGATTTGGCAAAACATACTGAATAACTGACAACTAATTTAACAACATATGGGTTTTTCTCTACGCTTTGGATTAATTTATTCCCGCTACATTTCATTTTTCTTTTACAGTTTGAAACCGACCCCCAAAGACGGGGTGACGAAAAGCAACCCCAGCAAACGGCATCGGGAACGGCTCAACGCAGAATTGGACACCCTCGCAAGTCTCTTACCCTTCGAGCAGAACATTCTCAGTAAACTGGACAGGTTGTCCATTCTAAGACTTTCCGTCAGCTATTTACGAACCAAAAGTTACTTTCAAGGTGAGTTTTTTGCCCTTCAACAGGAGTTTCAGTGGGAGAATTTTCAGTAACAAGCAGAACGATTGAAACTTTGACATATTCACCATTTTGCGCAATGGAAATTCAACATTTGAATTGGAGTAAGAAACAGGATAGGTGAATGGTGGATGGTTGTAATTTGAATGCTGTAGAGTTACTCCAATACATTCCTTACTCCACTCCTGACACATTTGAAGTGTGACACAGATCCATGAATTTCATGTTTGTCATAGAATAACATGGAACAAAGAATGTTGCCAAGAATGGGAATGACGGCTCGTGCATTCGAGAACAGGGGAGGCTAAAGTCATAAAGACTATATACACATAGAAAAGCCCGCCGGAGGCGCGAAAATTTTTTGGGGTACCGCACCTATTTAAAGCAAAATACGTAATATTTGCATATATGCAAACAAAAATTGTGTATTGACGAAAATAATACGTATAAAACTGACCATTAAAAAAACAAAAGCAATGAAAAAGGGTTGTCTTTGAGTTATTTAATATAAATGAACTCTTTTCAGTCAATAAATAATACTTTTCTCTTCTAATATAACAGTTTTGTTAAAAATTGCTACAAATATTTTATAAGCACAAGTACTTAATTATGCTTATAAAAACAGGTCTGAAAGTAAATTTTATTGTTCAGCAAGAACCAACGGGAAGGTGAGAGTAAGCCTTTTTAAATTCAACCGATTTTCCCTAACCCGATTTTCAAAAAAAATTATGGCCTCTTTTTGAGCTGCATCTGAAGCTGTTGCTATATTTTGTTTGCTACACAATTTTAATTTACAAGACGAAAATATATGCTCGTTAGATTTAAAATGTCTTTCTATAGAACGAGGTAATTTTTTTAAATCGGAGTATCCTATTTTAGACCACGTTTGGTATTCGGTTTGTACGGAAAATAAAACACAGGGCCAACAAAACATTTTTCTCGTTTAATGGAGCCGGTTAACCAATCGCATTTATCGTACCAACTGATATTAAATCATCGATTTTGTCGATTATCTGACGCTTTAACTAAAATCTAATTTGGTTGAGGCCTTCCCAGAGTTTTAATAATGTAAAATTTATTATTATAAGATAAAAACCTAAAATTATTTGTCAGCAACCAATCGACTATATCGTCAGATTTTTTTATTTCCTCCAACTTATCCATAATGAATGAATAAACAACTTACCTAAAAGTGAAAACATGAAAACATCTTGAAATTGAAAGAAAACACTTTGAAAACACATTAAAAATATTACCAAAAAGCACCGCTATAATACAATACTGCGTGTTTCATACACAAATAACAAATATTATCAAGAAACACTANCGAAACTATCTCGTTCGACAGTTCTTCGAGTCATTAAAATAGGGGATGTCATTGACCATGCAATGAAACGAAAACGAAGGAATGAAAAATTTGCAAACGTTGATGGTGCTACAAAAGATGTAGATCTTAGGAGATCATAATGATCTCCTGAGATCATAATGATCTCCTGAGATCAAAATGATCTCCTGAGATCATAATGATCACATAATGATCAGATAATGATCTTCTGAGGACGCTAACTTGGCTAACGAAATGCGCGTCGTAAAACCGTAATTTTGTTCTGGAGTTGGCAAAGTGTTTTCCATAGAAGGAGCTCGTTGTCAGACGAAGGTAAAATCAAACACAGTTTCAGAAATGAAATGCACAGCATATTTTCCTTCAAAAACTACGAAAGGAGGAATCCAAGACATATAAACTACAATATACCGGTAATTCCATGTTCCCGAAGTTTTCAAAAATCGGCCTTATAACTATCATGACGGCATCTATAATTTATAGAAAATTACATATTGTTCACATCAAAACTTCCTACCTCCCATTGCGCGGTGCAATGTATGAAAATATAACCATATGTTACCTGTTTCGAGTACAGTTTTACGTAAAGTTATTATTTCGATTGTAACTCGGGCGAACTGACTTAGAAATTAGATATTTCGTTTCACAAAAGCTGACGAAATGAAAACTCTCTTCTCAGTGAAACACGTAAATAGGACAAATCAAAGAAAAAACATCAATGGAAGTCAAAACGGTGAAGGAGTTTAATTCTAATTTTCTCTCATTATCTTAAAACTGTAGAATTGTAGAATAAATAATTGTAGAATAAATAATACCTAATGGAGAAAGTAAAATATTGTTCACACTGATGAGTACCTGCTTCAATTCAATGTATTATTCACGATGGAAAATTCGCATTGACATATTTCATGTTTGAAAACTCCTTGGACATCTGCCGAGGAAGTTTGAAAGTGAATCGAACAGAAGAAAAATTGCAAGTTATAGTTATAGTCTATTTCAAAAGAGTGTAGAGTAATAAATCATGAAGTGTCATAAAATTTGCCTGAATTTCGTTGTCGTCCATGGGCGTAGGCAAATCTTAGGATTATTAAACTTAATAATTAAAGTAAATTAAAAATTACAGACATAGATAATAATAAAAGGCCATTTTTGGGAAGTAATTTGGTCTAAAACTAAGTACCTACATGTATTTAGGTAAGTAAAATTTCTTAAAAAAAGATTAAGATTAATTTTAGTGGTTCTTGTAAACTTATTTAATATGCAATTTGGGTTCATATACTTGAGCATGATTTCTCAAAAAAGGGTTAACACTTAGTTCCGAGGTGCCATGTCATTATAATAATCCCTTTTTGACCCTGCCCACCAATCATGCAATACCTATTAAAC